ACGGCTTTGATGTAATCTCCACCGCTGAGCAGGCGCGTTCCAGTGGAGACCCAGGAACTACCCCGAGGGTACGCCGAGGCTTGAGGGAATGCCCCGCGGCCATCGACAGTATTCCCCAGGGCACCAGCCCATGCTGAGGCGCACTCAGTTGCTGAGCGACACTCGGTGCCCTTCACACGCACCGGGCCAGCCCAATACAATTGATCCTTTAAAAAGGATCCGGCCCGGGTACATGCTCGGACAACAGGATCCGAGGCCGTCAGACATTTGGCGAGCCTTCTTTGTTTGGCCAGAGGAATTCGGGTCACGAGACTTGGTACGCCCATGCCACCGCTACCCACAGATGCGTGCAGCATTGCGTCAGGAACATCGGTGGGGAGTTTTAGCCATGCACGACAGGCCACCCGCACACGCTGATCCATCCGACACAGCTGAGTCCTGTACACTTGTCCCAAGACGATTCTATGCATCAGCTTGGGGATCAAGTGATTTACCAGGAGAAACAGCCGCTGCTGGGGCTTTAGTGGAGCGTGAGTGAGCTGAGTGATGCCATCCTCCAATATGTTGCCGTAGGAGGCCTTTTTACCAGCCGCCCCTACCAGCACACCCAGATACTTGCACGTGTCTTCGGGACCGATGGCGGCCACTGGTGTTCCACCCACCGTTAGTGCCCGTGTGGTATCAACATACCATTTTTTCGCCTTTCGGTCCACCTCCAGATGAAGGGCACGGCATTTACCAGGATTAGCCGATAGGCCTCCACTCCTTAACACGCCCAAGACAGTATCAACCGTGTTTTGCAGACCGACCGGTGTAGAGCAGCAGACCACCAGATCGTCAGCAAATGCCAGTATGGACACACGTTCGCCCTCCACCGAGACGCCAGTCGGGCATAACAGGCCCGCCTGAATCGCCTCGTCAACCACAAAGTTGAACAGTAGAGGGCTAAGTGGGTCCCCTTGCTTCACACCCCTCGTTAGCCGGGCCTCTCCAAGTGTCTGACCACCGTATGACAACACCGTTCTGGCGTCCTGGTAGCCAGACATGATTACGTGCCGAATGGGAGGTGGGCAGCCCATTCTAGCCATAGCACGCTCAATAGTGTGTAGGGACACACTATCAAACGCCTTAGCCAAGTCCAGGAACGCCAGGTGCACTGCTGACTTGAGCGTTCGTGCTTGGTGTATGACAGCGTCAATAATGGCCAGATTCATTTGACACCCGTCCACGGGTACGAACGCCTTCTGCCGCTCTGACAGAGGGCATTCCCGCGCCATACGGATGGCCAGTATCTTATGGAAGAGGCGAACGACATGCGAGGCCACAGCAATTGGCCTTAGATCCCTAGGGTGCTCTGGATTGTTTACCTTCGGGATCAGGGTTGAGCACGACATCCTATAGCCTGTGGGGAGGTGTTCAGCTACCAGCCACAGATTGAACATCTTGCATAGAGAGGCGACTGGGGCTTGCTTCAAAGTTCGTAAGTCGACACGATCAGGCCCGCAAGCGGACTGACGCGTCGACTTCAGCCCAGACAACACCTCAGCAACAGTGATTGGATTAGCCAGGTTCCACTTGGTGTCACCAATAGGAGCAACATCCCGATCATCGGGAGCTGAGCCAGTTTCAAAAAGGTCGCGCCAGTAGGCAAATGTACCAGGTGGCGCCGCCCTCGCCACCTGCCGAGACCAGTCGCCGGAGAGCACATGCTCCGCCGCCCGACGTCGGTCACGATTGTACAGACTCTGAACCTCCTTATATTGAGTCCGCCTCAATTGCCGCCTGCCCGCAGGGGCCACTGGGGCTGGCCGGGTATGCACCGGGGGAGCACGCCCTGCTCCACCCGCGCGATTCTGAGGTCTTGCACGGGCGCTGCGTAAAACATGTTCAGCGTGACGCTCCGCTGCCTCCACGGCTCTAGCTTTCAAGGCGACTGGGTCATTCGCGCCAGCTAGAGTGGTAAGTTCCGCGAAGGCCTCAGTCAGGAGAGCATCACCCCAGTCCATGCCACCACCAGGGGCTAGCTCTCCACCAGTGTCCAGAACGGCTGCATACGCCACTACAAGAGCGGCGCTGTCTGGAACCGGTACCTCAGCAACTTCGGGACCCGGGTGGGGTGCATTAAGCTCATCGACGATTTCCCTCACACGGGTCTTGTGGTCAGCGGTACGTCGTCTCGCTTTGATGGCCTGGTCAGTCCGGCTGGGAAAGACCCCCGCGAGTTGCAGGTTGGCACTTGTCGGCCGGAAACGGCCCTCATAAATGAGAGTCGCCTCGGCACGAGCTAGCATCGCCTTCTCTTCATCAGTCCAGTTACCCGAACCACGCGATCTATGAGCCAAGGCCGCTTCCGCATGGTACTCATTGGCATGAGCCCGTCTACGGTGCGCACCAAGACCGCGGGCCGATGTGAATGCCCTTCCACACTCCGGACACAAGTGAACGGGTGCTGGGGCAGGATTACCGTCCGCCCCTGCTGCAGGGGCAGCGGGGTTATCATTCATGTCAGCCATGGTAATTCAGAGCGGACGGGCACCACCAATGTCGTTTTATCAACAGAGGTGGTTGGGGGAGCCGTGTACTTTAGCCGAGATTGAATGAATGCCTGGAGATACTTGCTGATAGCACAACACAGGAGGAAGGCACAGGACACTCTTAGACAACTCGTTGATCCCCCCAGCTACGTAGAAGCAGTACATCGGACTTTGGGGGGGATAAGAGAGTCATAGTTACACCCGCCGTTAACCCGCGCTTCGATGAATTTCTTCACTTTGACATTCAGAGCACTGGGCAGAAATCACGTCGCGTCAACACCCAACAGGGGCCGTCGCGACGCTTTGTTTTAATTAGACAGTCGGATTCCCAGAGTCAATGACAGTTCTGAGTCAGCCGCCAGCATTCAAGCCCTACCGAAGCGGACATTAGCGGCTGATTTACGCGCTCCCCGAGTCCTGGGCGGCGCCTGATGCAGAGTCGAATCTTCATCTAAATTTAGTCATAGAGGCAAAACCTTCTCTGGCCTGCTGGTCAGGGAAGGCGTCGCCGTTTGAAGAATTGTTTGTATAACAGGAGTTTCAGAACGTTTTATATAATGCGTTACTGGGCACTCGTGCCCCAAGTGACCCGAAGAGGACATAATAGTGACCCCGCCTTAGCCCAATTGAACCCCGCGTTGGCCCAGTTTTTCCCCGCGTTGGCCCTGTTGGCCCTCGCGTTTGCCTGTTTTCCCTCGCGGTGGCCCAGTTGGCATCACAGTTTGCCTTGTATGCCCCGGGGTTGGCCCTGTTGTCCCCCGCGTTAACCCAATTGAACCCCGAATTGGCCCAGTTGACCCCATAATTGACGCGCATTCCCCCCACAGATCTCTGACCCGTCCAGCGATGGTCCCGCGGGTGGGGCCGTGGCCCGGGCCTGCGAGCAGTACAGCACCAAGGTGTACGCCTGTGTGCACGGGGACCGCGCCATGGGGCCCGGGGCCTGGACCCTGGTGGGCGTGGGGCACCTCCTGCTGCTTGTGTGCATTGTGGCCCACTGCCTCCTGCCTGACCTCAGGACCCTCCAAGTGAGTGGTGGGCCAAACGGGCCATTGTAATACTACTGTAATACCTACTACTATAGCAGATGGGCCCAGTATGGCAGATGAGATACTGCAGCAGGCGGGCCAGTATGTTAGATGAGATACTGCAGCAGGTGGGCCCAGTTCCCAGTTGCTAAAATACACTGTCCGCAGAGCCAGTATATACTACTGTGTGTATGTAACCCAGTACGCGGTACTGTATATACTATGTATATAACCCAGTAGACTGTCCACAGGGCCAGTATATACTGTGCAAGTAACCCAGTACACTGTCCGCAGGGCCAGTATATACTGTGCATGGTGGTCACGCTGCTGCTATACAACCTGATGCTCTTCCCTGCTTCAGCCATCGACTTCCCTGCCAGCCACGTCGCCTGTATAGCTCTCAGTGAGTGACCTGTATAGCGGTCTGTGAGTGACCTGTATAGCGGTCAGTGAGTGACCTGTATAGCGGTCAGTGAGTAGCCTTTATAGCGGTCAGTGAGTGACCTGTATAGTGCTCAGTGAGTAGCCTTTATAGCGGTCAGTGAGTGACCTGTATAGCGCTCGGTGAGTGGCCTGTATAGCGGTCAGTGAGTGGCCTGTATAGTGGTCAGTAGCGGTCAGATTATTCATTCATCTACAGTGTACAGAGCTCCCACTACACTACCTCATGAAGCTTGATCAGACAAGAGTTTCATATGAATGCAGGCGCCGCGTTCTGAAAGAATGCGGGGATAAATACACTGTGAGTAAAACAAAGCTTCAGTCAGCCATGAATGTTTGGCATACAGTCATGTTTGAAGCGCCCAGAAAGGCCACCTCGACGTCCCTGCCTCATAACCCCACCCCCGCTCTCGCTCCTGCTCCCTCCCCACCCCTTGTCCACTAGCCCTACCCCTGCCAAAAGCCATAAACCCACTCCCACCCTTACCTTTGCTCATAGTTCCACCCCTAACTCAACTCCTACCCTCGCCATTAGTCTTAACCTTACCCTCACCAAAATCTGACCCTCAGTCCAACCTCCGCCACCACAACTATTTATGACCTCACTCTCCCCATACTCGAACATCTGATGCTCGAGCTGCCCCCACCTCTACCACTGCTGTAACACATCATGATCTGGATGTTGGTCTGCCATCATCTTTCCCAGCCTTACCTCCTCCCAAGATGTTGATATACTTCAGGCAGCCAAGTATTAGAAAAGGTATTTGTTAGAAATAGCTTCAAAATAAATGTGAACACGGGAAGAAAGGTGAAGGATGTACATTTACACTTCCCAGAATTTGTTATATATTCTTCGACTATAGCAGCGGGCATCTACGAGGATGCAAAAAGCGTAAGGATTGCCTCTTCTACCACCCTAGGCTGTGCTGGAGCGTCATGAATAGGGAGGATAGCACCAAAGACAACTATCGTTTCCTCCATATCAAATAAAGAAAATGATTTGGAAAAACTAACAGCGGAAGGAGTGCCAGCGCTACACCCTCACAACGAATGTCGATGTCCACCACACGGCAGGCCCCACGAGCGCAGGGAAAACAGGACAATGTCGTGGGGATGGTAATGACCATTGGAAGGAGCGGCGATGAGCTGAGAATGATGAGCAGGGATGAGCAGAGTCCATGATGGAGTAGCAGAGAGGACAAAACAAATCCAGTAAGTCAACCAAGCAATTGGGAAGGAGAAGCACGAGGCGGGCAAGAGTTCAGACTCGCTGCTTTTTTAGAAATGAGGGAGAAAATGAAACTCTATATGCATCAGTTAGAACTGATGAAACTCCAGATGCAGGAGCTCCTGAACTAGAGATTCTTGGCAGAGCGGTGTCGCTGGAGGGAAGCGCACCAAGAAGAGGAGAGTGTGGCATTCTGTTAGCCAACATCGAGAGGCTCTTCCCACAAAGAGTGACATTCCGACATACTTTATGATTGCACTAACCGAGTCGCATCTAAGAAAAGATATCCATGATGCAGAAATTGCAATGGAAGGATTACAACATTATTGTGCGGACTGGACGGAAAAGAGGAGCAGTTGTTACCTTAGGAACTTCTTCGCAAGAAGCACGGTGGAATTGAGATCGAAATCTGGTAAATCTGATGGCTTTGTTGAATACATACTATTCCACATTAAACAACTCGATTTCTGCTTAGCTATAGTGTATAAATCACCTGCTTGTCCATCGGTAAAGTTTAACGAAATCCTTATAGAAATAAAGATATGGGTAACTGAGCTAGGAGATCCTTCCCCCAATCTGATTATATGGGGAGACTTCAAACATCCACGTATCCATTAGACAAACCCGGACGGCTTGAACGGTGACGGCCACGACTGAAGTTAGGAAGCAAAACTGGTGCAGTTTGCTGCGGATCACCTACTTAGTCAGCAGGTACGGAAGCCAAAAAGGGAGCACAATATCCTTGATCTCTTTTTTAGTAACAATGAAAGAATGGTGGTAGACATTCGAGTTGAAGAGATTTCACAGTCCGACCACCGTCTGGTATTCGTGGATACGACAATTGGAATGGACAAACAGCCCAGGCAAATACCCCAAGAGGGACTGGCTGGACATAACTTCCACCATCGAAGAATGGACTGGAAGGCAATTATGAACGAATTTGGAGATATTGATTGGAGATCGGAATTTCGGGCGAAAAATTCGGATGAGATTTACATAAATCTTTGCGAGAAACTAACGCATAGGTGCGCACGTCATACACAAGAGAACAACGGGCTTCAAAGCTTGCAGCATTCCGAGAGACCGACGAATCCTCATGAGAGAACGCACGCGATTAAATAAACAAATAACTGAATCCACTAGTGATCTGAGGAGACTGAGACTAGTAAATTTGACTAAGGAAATCGAACTCAGGCTGCAGGACTCGCACTGAGTGTAAGAACAAGCTGCCGAGGAGCGAGTGGTAATCAGAGAGAACCCCAAGTATTTTTTAAATACACCTAGCCCAAGGGTAAAAGAAAGATGGCATTTTGCCCGCTGAAGGATACCGATGCCATTATTTGAGATGAACAGAACATGTGTGAGTTACTAGGATCGCAGTTTGAATCAGTATTTAGTAACGCCCGATATTTTAGACATGAGAATGAAATTGGAGACCTCCAGGAGCTTCCAGGTGAAGGGGGGCTGGAGAATATCCAGCTGGGACCATATGACATGGATAGATGCATCAAGGAACTGGAGATGTTTTCAGTAAAAAGACCAGATGGAGTTCCGGCAGTATTGTTCAAGAAGTGTATCGGAGCATTGAAAGAGCTGGCCACACGGCTCTGGAAAACCTTGTTGATGGAAGGAATTATTCCCGAGTGCCTCAATGTGGGACTGATAATGCCAATCCACAAAGGTCTGAGAGACAGACCCCAAAATTACAGACATGTGACCTTGACCTGACAGGTGGACGTATTATACTTAGACTTTGCTAAAGCCTTTGACAAAGTAGACCATGGGGTGCTATCCAGAAAGCTAAGGCTGTTGGAAGTAGGAGGAAGCTTGCTGGGGCCAGATCCACAACTTCTTTACAGATATACATATAGAGTACAAGCTGACGCAATTTAAAACACGAAATCGAGAGAAGCTCGGTGAAAAGCGTGGTGCTACAAGGCTCGGTGCTTGGACCGATCCTCTACTTCATCCACGTCGCCGTCGCCAATGTACACAGAACTAACCCACTGATCTGCATTGACATTTCCAAGACGATGCAAGAGTGCTGATTAGGATCACAGACGACGTAGACTCCGAGATGCTACAGGATGACTTGTCAACAATCTACGATCGGGCCATGTTGAATAATATGCAATCTAAGGGCACCAAGTTCGAATCAGTTGTCACAGAGATACAGAGTTGGCACAGAGGCCGGAATGCTGCAACGCTACTTCTCATCAGACGGCACAGAAATTGAGAGCAACTTGTTCGAGATCTCGGAGTATGAATGAATACAGAAGCCACGTTCGGTGACCACACCGAGGAAATAGTTTCACAAGGCAGACGGCACTCCTGCCAACTTTGGGCGCCGCTCAAAGTGGGCGAGGTGCGGAAACTAAAGGCAGTCCATCGGAACTTCACGTACAGGATCAGCGGTATGAGGGAGCTTGATCTGAACTACTGGGGCAGTTTGAAACACCTGGGACTGTACTAATTGGAGAGGAGGAGAGAGATGTATATCATACAGTACACTTGGAAGAAAATAACCGGACTGGCTCCCAACTCTGAAAGTGAGACCTCCAAAATAATGACATATTCCAACGGAAGGTTTGGGGGAGACTGTGCAGGATTCCTCTATTTAATAACCGTGCCGCTGCCGGAGAACAGACTTATTCTGAGGGATCACTGTCTGCGGCCTGACCGAGGCCATATAAGTAATAATGTCACTCGTTTGCTTGAATCGCAAATTCATTAAAAATTTAAAAGCAAATAAAACTCCACAAAAATTCATAGTATCTTTAAAGAAAACGTTTCGGAGTCCAGCTCCATCATCAGTTCGAAAATTCTAGAACATCTAGAACACAGATAAATCAGTAATTAGTACAGTCAAAATTACAACAAAAAACCTAAGCTGTAAAACCTGTACCTATTTACAATTTAAAGCGGTAAGAGCTGAAAGCTAAATTCAAACTAGGCCTCTGTTTAAAAATATATAATAATTCTAAAATGCGCAAATTAGAAACATCGGAACTGGAAGCTAAAACTTTGAAGTCACTGTCAGAAACTGGAGCATCGCACTGCTAGGCGTGAGCCCGCACAGCCGAATGAGGGGGGCGCGACAGTAAGTTACCAGTTTAATGCCTTGCCCAAGGTGCTGAGAGGAGGGGAGTTCTCTCTGAGGAGGGAGACCCCGGTTTATCCAGTAATGGGAAACTACCCTAAGCAAGTGACAAACAACAGCTTCTTGCATTAGCTGGCCCAAAGGAGGGCTGATAGATAAAACGCGGCCAACGTTACGTCCGGGACTCGAGGGCGGGGTGACCTGCATATCGACGACTCGGAGGCGGAGGACGACGAAGGCGGCGCATCAGCGTCACCGTGGAATAAGAAGTCTTAAACTCGTCATTAGGGCATGATGTCAGTGATTGGACTGTAAATGACTTAGTTAGTGGCCTGCACAGCACTCAGTGTGGGGTATGTAATCACTCGGTGAGTGGCCTACATAGCACTCATTTAGTGGTCTGTATAACGCTCAGTGAGCGGTGTAAGCACTCAGTTAGTGGTTTATAGCCCCCGACCACCAAGTAGCCCCCTACCTAAGACTACCACCATGTAGCCCCTACCTAACACTACCACCAAGTAGCCCCCTACCTAACACTACCACCAAGTAGCCCCCTANAGGCCATCAAGTACTTCTTCTTCTGCGGCGTGTTCCTGTGGTTCTCAGTCGTCTGCTTCGACGTGTGGCGCACGCTCAAGTATGTGGAGGGAGTAGCGTGTTATTGAGTCACACTCGTGCGCTTGGATAACCTAGTATATGTAATATATGTATAACATGTTATTTATGTATTTCATGTTGGTATGGGCTAGTAGAATTTTTTCCCTCGAGCAGATTTCATTGCAGGGCTGAGAATTTGTCTTATTGACAATATTCTTATACGTTTTTTCAATGTATCGAAAAATAATTTTCTTTTGCATTGGTAAATGAAGAAGCATTATACAAATGAACATTTTTAATTCGCTAACGACGTCAACAAATTTGAATTATTACATAATTATTAATAATAAAGTGTTATATGTAATAGAGTATTACATGGAAATATAAAATATTACATTGTAAATCGGGGTGGCCAATGTGAAACGTAGAACCTTGGTTGAACATGTCAGTCTTCTGAGATAAAAATTTTTCTTATATAGTTCATGCGTGATTGGATGTATACTCCCTTACAGAGCCATATGCGTTACTCCCTACAGAGAGCGCTATACTCCCTTACAGAGCTATACACTAATTAACGAAGTCTGCCCCAAGTATACATGCCAGGTGGTGGAGGTATAGCGTGTAGTTCATGTCTGTCGTGTACACGCTGGTGTATAGCCTCATGTGTCACAAGCAGCCCTGGTTACCCCAGGCGGGGGAGGACGTGCAGCTGGGTCTAGTAACTCGTGTTAACTCAGAGAAGAAATAGGTGGGTCTGGATAACCCACTTAGACGAGTCAACCGCGCCCAAATAGCGATGCACTTTTTGACGCACTTACCCATTTGTTCAAACCGACCTATTGCTGACCTTTAAATTTCAGGCGTCAAAAGCGATATAGCGCCACNGTGGGTCTGGATGACCCACTTAGACGAGTCAACCGCGCCCAAATAGCGATGCACTTTTTGACGCACTTACCCATTTGTTCAAACCGACCTATTGCTGACCTTTAAATTTCAGGCGTCAAAAGCGATATAGCGCCACAAATTAGTCATACCTGTCATTTAAAATGCTAGTATGTAATAGGTCAGTGTGACCCACAAATGGGCAAGTGAGTCTAAATTGAGCATCGCTATTTGGACGCGGTTGAATCGTCTAAGTGAGTCATCCAGACCCACCCATTTATCTAAGTATTTCCCAAAGCGTGGTGCAGGTTTTCATGATCATTCATCATCCCAGGCGGGGGGAAGACGTTGGGGGACGTCGCAGGTTCGTGCTGTACAGCACCTACGTGTGGGTGCTGAGTGCTGTGCTCACCACAGCTGTGCTCGTCCTCAGCATCAGCACGGGGGCTGAGGCACCCGCCAGCTCCCCAGCCAACAGCCTCCCCATGTGCTCCCTGGGACGTGAGTAAACAGCTCAGTTGGGGATGTCGGGGAATTTCGAGGTAAAGTTTCGTCTATATTGAGTGAGGATCTTGCCCCAAGTTATGGTTTAGGGTAACTTTTGGCTGTTTTCGACTGTAAGCTTTAACTTATAGAGCTTTGAAGTAACTTATGAGTTTAGAAATGTTTTTTTGTGTAAATTTGCTAGTCTTGTTTAAGTTGTGTTGACCTAAGCTCTCAGGGTAAGTTTTGACGTAGTTCCTGTAGCACCGCGGGCAGTGGGAGTGGCATGTTTGTCGTCCTTGGATGCCAGCGAGCTGCTAACTTCATATACCAGAGTGGCATGTTTGTCGTCCTTGGATGCCAGCGAGCTGCTAACTTCATATACCAGAGTGGCATGTTTGTCCTTCTTGGATGCCAGCGAGGTGCTAACTTCTTATACAAGACTGGCATGTTTGTCGTCCTTGGATGCCAGCGAGCTGCTAACTTCTTATACCAGAGAGGCATGTTTGTCCTCCTTGGATGCCAGCGAGCTGCTAACTTCATATACCAGAGTGNGATGTGTATAAGAGACAGTTCCAACAGTGTGTGCCAAATCAGTGTAACCAAAATACTAAGGACTTCGGAACAGCAAGGAGCCGTAGTCAAACAGTTCTAACAGGCACGCCTCAGAGGTGCTTCCTCAAATTTTCGTTCAGTTTTATTTATTTATTTGCAAGATATAAATCAATAATTCTTGAGCAAATAAAATTCACCATATCTTCACTGAAAACGTTTCGAATGCCCGCTCCATAAATAGTTCAAAATTTCACTGGTACAAGGTTTAAACGGAAGAGATCAAGACCTAAATAGCCTAATAAACCGGCCAAACAACATTTAACTTCAGTCGCTTATCAGTTCTAGCGGATAATAATTATAAGCAATTATAAGATAAGACTTTTGATCAAAAGTTCCTGTCATTCCAAGAACTTTAAATGTAAATATCGCGCTACGACACAGGAGCGTCGTTCTGTGCAGCAGAATAGGGTGGGTAAGCAAGGCCAATCTGATGTAGAAGTTACGAGATGTCATCGTGACGTCGTGATGCGGACCGTGCACAACTGTATTCATTAACCGGGGAGGACAGCAATTGAGTAGCAATTTTGAGACAAATTCCTCATACTTGTAGAAGGAATAAATTTTGAAATTATTCACCAGTAACCCGTGCAAAATGAATTTCGGATATTATTCCACGAATAGAATCTCTAAAGCATATGGCGGTTATCGACATGGAGCCGAAGTGGTACGACTTGCAGTAAATAACTGCCCTGCTGTCAACCTTTATGACAAATTCAGAATGTTGCGTGAACTTTGGAATTTGTGTGAATGACGCCTTACTCTCTTTTGGATAATTTACCTGTGGTAATTTATTGTAATGTGGAGAAATTCGTGATCTTGAGGATTTCACAATGTAGAATTACCAACGCTGGTCTAGGGCAACTTTTAACTATCCGAGAAAACAATTCATAGAAATAAGCGAGACTTGCCTCAATTGAGAATCACTTAATGCGCCTCTGTGGGTCATCCTAACCCAGTTTGGCCCGGCAAGGGCGTATCAGTGCTACGTCCGCTCTCGGCACATGCTGTAGGTAAAATAGCGCGTCACAATATGGACAATCTAGCCCGTTAGTTTCCTGAGTGAAGCTCTCTAGGGTAACAGTTCTCCCACGTGCAGGTGGCGTGAACCTGGTGCTGCAGCTGGTGCAGAGCGCCACAATCTTGGCGTGTGGCGTGATGCTGGTGCTCGCCTCATGCCATCTGTGCCACTACACTAAACTGGGATGTGGCTTACCCAGAGCCGACGCCACGATGTGGTGAGTCATGCCACGATGTGGTGAGTCATGCCACGATGTGGTGAGTCATGCCACGATGTGGTGAGTCATGCCACGATGTGGTGAGTCATGCCACGCTGTGGTGAGTCATGCCACGATGTGGTGAGTCATGCCGCGATGTGGTGAGTCATGCCACGATGTGGTGAGTCATGCCACGATGTGGTGAGTCATGCCACGATGTGGTGAGTCATGCCACGATGTGGTGAGTC